TTTTCTTTTTTTGGCTTAAACCCCTTCTTTCAACATGATTTTTGGAATTCATAGGTTGGTGGACTTCGTGATGAATTACGTAACTTGACTAAAAAACGTGCTGCTATCTTGTCAAGAACAGAAAGAACTAGGAAAGTACCAGCTATGGTAAGAAAACCCCTACAATTAAAACTTGTTATATCTAAGAAACACAGAAGTTACTATACATCATAAATATCATTAGGACCTGAAATTAGTACCTGATAACATGTTGAAACATAACTGACTATCCTGAGATTTCTATGTTTTATGTTGAAAAAACTCTTGGAAATTAGTCAAAGTCCAGTGTTGCCCTAGAAGAAAGTTTTATATTGGGCTATCTTTTGTAGAATTATAAAGCATTCAACCTTAGGACACAAAGGAAAGTTAGACTTATTATTGAATACTGAATAGAAGGTTCACTGTTAATAAGTTTTATAATACGGTTTACTCATTATATAATTTTTTTCCTTTCAATTTGAATCTTTTTTTTTTCTTCATCCTGGAAATTCAACTTAGAACCTTGTGCTTATCAGGCAACTGCTGTGCCACTGAGTCATATCTCCAGCCCTCAATTTGAATCTATTTTGAAACTTATAATTCCTCTGTGATTGTTTTCCACTCTGCTTTTACTTTAATCTGTATAGATATGGATTTTCCTAACTGATTATTATTTTTAAGGAATAGCTCATATTGAAAAAAATTAAAAATAGTGAAGCAGATTAAAATTAAAAATTAATGTTTGATTATTTCATTCAGATTGAATTTTAAAAAATATAAAAATAAACTTTACAGTTAAAAAAGACCCAGTGACAACTTTGCTATAGCCTTCCCCTAAATTCATGTGTCAAAATCCTAACATCCAAGGTGATAGTGTTTATTAGGGCGAAGACCTAGGTTACAAAAGCTGACACCTTAGGAATGTAATTAATTCTCATATTAAATAGACCAATGGGAGCTGCTTCATTCCATTCCATGTCAGGACACATTGAGAAGGGGCCATCCATGAAGTAGCAGATCCACACTAGACACACAATCTGTTTGTGCCTTGATCTTTCTAGCTGTCTGAACTATGAGAAATAAATTTCTGTTGCTTATAAGCTACCAAGGTATATTATTTTATTATAGAGATACAACAGATTAAGACAAATATGAACCTGGAGCCTCATGTGTACAAGGTATCAGACCATCTTTGTTAGATATTATTAATATAAATTGCCAACACAGGACTATAAGCCACATTTAAAATGTAGTCAGGCATCTACATAAAGCATTGATTACTGAAGTAAAATTTTGATATTTGAGAAAATGCCAAGAGTGGATTTATAGTATTTTCAATGGTAAAATTACCAGTACAAAATCAGGATGAACTAATCTAAGGAAGAACAAATGCATAGCTAATTAATACAACATATCTAAGAAGCCATAGGAATTACATTAATTTAGTAAGAGACATTTAGCATTGGATTCATTTCTTTTGAAGGCATTAATTGACTGAAGTAGGGTCAAAATTAGAAATGTGTGAGATTGTGTCTATAAATTTAAAAGACAGTTAAAGACATCTAGCAGTACTCTTGATGTATAGTAAATTTTCAGTAATTGTTAAATAAATGCAGTTTTAATAGATAATTTTATCACAATTTTAGTATTGGCTTGAATTTCTCTAGTGAACTTATTTTGTGTATACCTCAAGATTCACTTTGAAATATGGCACAAGTAATGTGTTACTCATAAAAGCTTTTTAAACTTAGAAATAATTAGGTTGAATTAAAATTGTTTCTATCATATTACACATACTAGGAAAGAAAAATGAAGATCTGATGGTATACACAAGAGTGCACATGTATATGACATACATTATTCTTTAGTTGAGATGACAACACAGATCTATTTCAAAGGAAGAAGTCTTGTTCCACCAACTGTTTACCTAATTTACATTTTTTCCTTTAACTTTACCTTATTTGAATCTGAAAACTTTCTTTTTTAATTAATTTTATTGAGAAAAAATTGCAATGTGACAGCTTCCAAACAGATTGGTAAGAGCAATTAATACATTGCATATTGTTGTCTTTGTAGTAGTCATTCATAGCACAAGATGCAGACATGATATCCTGTCCAAACATTGTTAGTGCAGATCTTTTTATCGAATTAGGAGAAAGTAGCTATATATCTATCCTAACTATTTTGTATATACAGATACAAAATTGTCTTTCATTTATATCACCTTTTTTTGTTCAGTTTTGTCAGAGATGGGTATTCCATTGCCATCCAAATATTGTAGGTGCATGAAATCAGCAAAATATTCCAATATAATCCAGTACTCCACAATAGTAGTGGGTTATCCACAGGATTAGTAATGTCTGAATCTGATGACTTGAGCCTTTCACAGCTCAGCATATTAACATGGCTTCAGTTTTCATACCTTGTTTCTACACTTTTCTGCTGAATTGTTAAGACCAAAATAAAGCAAGACCTATATAACAAAAAATGTAACTTTTGTATCTCACATAGTCAGTCAAGTCCCCTCAGGACTTATCCCAAAATCTTGTACCACACTTTGTAGATTCTTTGTGCCAGCCATGTGGATGAGCCATGGCCATTGCTTGACCAATTTATTCTCTGAGAAAGCCTGAAAGAATGTTTTCTCTCCATGTGACTCTCCTTAGGCACACACTACATCATTGATCACAATCCTCGGTGGGACCATAATCTCCTTGATCAGAAAATTTGGGGTACAGCTGAGGTACATGATGTTACAGTACAGGTTATATATCCTGAGTCCTCACTGAACTTCAAAGGCTAGGGCCAAAATTTTGGCTGTCCTTGCAGCCCTTCTTTTTCTTTACTGTTTGGTCTGCAAATTAGGTTGTTAACCCTCCAGAAGAGAAGCTTATTATTACCCTACAACATATGCAGGTGGGGTTAACCTCACTATCTGTCTGAATGTCAGACATCTTAGGCATAAGATGGAACAACTTTAAAAAAATTACTTGAGATACAGTCTGGCCATAATTGGTATGTCATGACAAGCAATACATATTTAGAAGACCAAAATGACAATGATTCCAAGCATGGCCCCACTATTGTATATTGCTATCTTCAGCACAGACGCCCAGTTCACATGTATCAGCATATATAGTTAGTTAGGGTGAGAATCCAACCCAATTAATGAATCTGCTATGAATCTGACAACTTTCTTAGCATTATGTTTTTTGGCATTGGTCACCTATGATTAAAAGTGCTGAATAGAACTCTGGTTTATGAAGGAGTGAAATAGTTGAGATGCATACAAAGTGTTGGCTTTTGAATACTTTCTGAAAATGACAAAATTGTTCAAATAGGTATGCATATAATATGTAGATAATGTAAAAATTCAAATTAGTGACTTCAAAGCAAAGCAAATTTGAAATAATTGTGCAAACATGCAAAATATAGAAACAATTTTATAGTTTTTACTTTTTATAAAAATATTTTATTTTACTTTACTTTATACTATTTTATTTAATGTATTTGGTACAGGGTCTCACTACGCAGTTTGGACTTGTAGTGATCTTCTTATTTTCAGCTTCTCCAGGGCTGGGATTATAGACATGCACCACCACCCCTGGTTTTGTTTTCCTGCTTAGCATGCCTGGGGCCAGGGCTATCAGAGCATGCTGTACCAGGGATCAGAGATAAAAATATTATTAAAATTTCCACTTTTGTAAGGCCCCAATTTTTCTTTTAAGAAAACAATATATGTGTTAGTTGAATACACACACACACACACACACACACACACACACACAAAACAAAAACACGTGTATAGTGATATATGTGTACCTAAGTTTATAGCAGCACAATTTGTGATAGCCAAATCTTGGAAACAACCAAGATGACTGTCACTGGAGGAATGGATGAAAAGATGTGGTATTTCTACACATTGGAGTATTACATCAGCTATAAAGAATGATAAATTCGAAGCATTTATATTGAAGTGGATGCCACTTGAAGATATACTCATAAGTGAAATAACCCAGACCCACATGTGTAAATATCATATAGTCTTCCTAGTGTAAGAACTCAAAAGAAGAAATAAAAATAGAAGGGTATAACACAATTAAAAGAAAGTGAGAACTTAAGGATTAGACAATGAAGAGAGGACAAAGAGAAAAGCTAGGAAACATGACAGGAGCAAAGCCATACATTTATATGCACAAGATGGGTAAGGCAATGATCCTAAGATATAGGTTTTTGAAATTAGTAGTTAATTGTTAGGATTCTTACCCTAACTAATTATATATGCTGATACCTGTGAACTAAGCAACTTCACTGAAGATAGCAATGTATAATAGTAGGGTCATGCTTGGAATGTCTGTCATTCTGGTCTTCTAAGTGCATACTGCTTGTCATGTCATATCAATTACTGCCATACTGTTTCTCAAGTAGACGTTTGTTTTAAAAAAGGGTAATAAATGAAAACAAGAGACAAGAAAAAAAAAGTCACAGGAATGTCCTGCTACAATGCTGTATATGGTTAGATTTCTAAATTTCTGTATAAAATATGTAATTGTTTATTCCTATTTTTTAA